GAAAATACTTTACTGTATATTCCAAGTCTGAGGTTATTTTAATAATCAAACAAGACTTTTAAATAGATGCTGCTATGTTTGCCATTGCAGAGAATGCTACAGTTTGGAAAAGCTTTGTGCAAAGGTTGATGTTTGTGCCCTGGGAATAGTGGATTTGGCTTGCAAATAGGAGCTAAGCAATTACCAAGACTAACGTTAACCAAAACAAAATTATATTGGAATGTAATGGGCTGATCAAAGTTGGTAATGCTGATTAAAGCGGGAAATGGAGGAATGTGTGCTTTTACAAGGGAAAACGAAGAGGAGGAACACTTGCAAATTATTCTTGCTGTCATTGCAGTTGTCAGCAGCAGAGATGAGAGGGTATAGAGCAAATAGTGCCACCTCCTGGCAATGTAATGGAAAGTGTATGCGTGATCTGAGATGGCAGGTACATGTGATACACTTATGGCATGTGTCAGTGATGGATGAGGCAATATGTAGGATTAGTTGCATGTTCTGGAGGAGCAAAATTCTTTTGAGGCATTTGGCCTAAAGAATCTAGAGATGGAAAAATTGAATCAAATCCAAAATGTAGAAAGAAGCTGTCTGTAGATGCCCGCTCGCTCGCCAGCTTTGCTTGTCTTTTGACATCTCAAGCCCTTCTCATTTAACTCTTCTGCCATGGACTTGTGCCTCATGGCACATAAAGCTGTTGGGAAGAGTGGGATTTTAATCATGTTAGCTTGCTTGTTCTGGTCTCTGGATGAACAAAAATGAATGTCTTCCTGAGGTGGTAGATACCCCTGAGGTCTGCCTGGTTAATAGCCTGACCAATTCTACAGTGGTTATGAATCTGGTTTACAGTTGCTCTGGAAGACTCGGCACCTGAATTCTGGTTGGCATGGCTCTACACCATAGTCAGGAATCTCCTCAGGGGTCTCACCTGCCTTGTGTTTTGTTTTTCAGGTGGTACCAGAGAGATTGGGTCTGCTCTTACCAGGATGTGTATGAGGCACAGAAGTATAGAGTCCAAACTCCGGCAGTTCTCAAGGTGAGTGGCTCTGTGCCTGGCCTGGAGCTCGAGGTTGGTTTTTCATTTGCTGCTGGGGGACACCTAAAGCTATTCACCAGCACTGGCTTTTCAGCTGATCTCTGACCATGCCACTGAGAACAGCGGTTGTTTTCTCCCTAGCAACACACTAGCTGTTGTGACCATGCAGGATTTCACTGCGTGTTCTGGGGACTTGAGTTTGTCACCTCAAATCTCTGTTGGTTCCTGTTGCTCAGTGCTGAGCAGGCAGATGCTAATGTGACCAACCTGTCTTTGTTTCAGGACTTTAAGCTTTGTCACTAAATTTTAAAGCAGAAGCAAGTGTTGCGCTGCTTCCTCAGCTTACTGAAGAGCCCAAATAACTTGCAGCCAAGAGAGAAACTTTCAGCAAATAAGTATGAAAAAGGCAAATTCCCTCATCCCCTTTTTGCAGTTAAAGTTAGACTGTAGAGGTAATGGGAGAGGATTAACTCACATGTAAGCTGGGCTATACATAAATAACCTACTTCTCTAGTAAGTAGTAGTTTGCATGTGTGCTTTTTTAAACCACACTAAAAAGTTACACTTGACCTGAGGTAAACCAAAGTGATGCTTCCCCATTCGCCTGATGACCCGGTATGTTTTTTCCCTTTTTAAAATTAAGATATTTGTGAAATTCGCTGTGAGGAGACAACTTTAGTCTCTAGTTGCCCCAGAGTAAGCTGTTTAAACGATTCCATCCCAATCTCATTAATTAGTGGAGCATTACTAGTGCTGTATCACGGACTCCACTGGTGAGATGTGAGGCACACCGGTGGGCAGGATGTTGTTCGCTTGCACAACTGCTCTGTCTTCTTGTGTGTATACTTGTGTTATTTATGTTCAGAATCTTCATGGCTGCATGAACCTTTTCAGTCTCCAGACTATTCATTTAAACTGCTCTTTGTGTGACAGACGAGTAGGAGGTAACTGTTTATATTGGCCCTGTTTCAGGTCACTCCTCTGGTTTACGCTCTGTTCCTCACTGTCCTGAACTTCTGTGCAGTAATTCTGGCTATCTTGTGATGTGGATTTGGTTTTTTCTTTTGATCCAGTCCTTTCTTTTGCTTTCTCCAGCGTAAACATTTTTATGTTCTGGTATTTACATTGTGACACTGGTAGCTGTCACAGCAAAAAGTAAAAATACTCCAATATTGACCTTGGCTCTCTATATAAGAATAGGGGCATCTGCAGGATTTGATTGCTCTTTGTGTTTTTTCAACAAAATTAGTGCTTTAATTGACTGTCTGATAAACCCACTTCAAGAACAGATGGAAGAGTGGAAGAAAGTGGCCAATCAACTGGATAAAGACCATGCAAAAGGTAGTTAACAGAGGAAGAATTCTTTAATAGGAGTAAGATTGTAATATCAGCTTTTCTTCCTCTTTTCATGTTTGTACTGGGGAACTGAGTGACTCGCTTAAATATGTATAGCAACTTCTCTTTTCTAAAACATTCCTCTCCCAAAGTGCCTAACACATTTTTAGTCCTTGCATATGCATTTTGAAGCTCTAGTTTGCAGGAGCCCAAGGGATGGGTTGGTTTTCCTAGACTGGGAAGCAGTGACTAGATTTAACTCTGTTAGCCCACCCTCACCTTGTCATCTCCAGTAGTGCTGAGGACTGGGGATGCTGCATCTGTCCCAGCAAAGCCCTGGGGTGTCATTAAATGTAACTAACTGTAAGATCATGTTATGTCTCAGACAGCATCCTCCAGAGAATTCACAGCCCTGTAAAACAGGGCATCATTCAGCATCATTTTATATCTGATGTGATACAGATATGTGCACCCAGAGAATAGGAAAGCTCTGCTGTTGGACATGGGATGCTGAAAGCTGCAGTGCTGATGATGGCTCCAGAGGCTTTCCTGGGGAATGAGCAGGAGGCAGCAAAGTCTTGCACAGTGAAAGCATGCTGGTAGATGCCTTTGGCTTTGCAAGACTTGCAATGGGGATAATAGTCCTCTAGTACAGGGGCTGAAAGCAGGTTACAGTTCACCACTAACCTTTGAAAACTGAAGACTTCTGCTATGTCTGAAAGAAGCAGCATCACCATAGTTTATTTTGGGGAGGGTGAGAATTGGTGGAAAGAAGTGTGCCTGGCCTCCAAAAGAGGATTTGCTTCTTGCCCCACTGTTACTGTGGTCAAACAGAAGCAGCTAAATCAGCAGCTCTTGGAAAGATTTCCACCTTATGCTGTAGCGTGTTAAGCAGGTAGTGAGCAGGAAGGAGGAATCACCTGGGTTCCTGCAGATAGGGGTGGCCCTGGCCAAAGTGGCAGTGAGATTCAGGGTTTAGTGGGTAGACTTGGATGTCGTCGAGGGTGCAGTTGGCCCCAGTACAGTTCCTGTGCCCACCACCAGCCTGCTTCTGTTTTTCCATCTATAGAAGAGTAATAGCATTGCCCTCCTTTGTTAGAGTGTATGTGTATATGTATATACATGCATACATGCCTTTTATCTTTTCTTTTCTTTTTTTTTTAAAGTATCAGTTTTCATATCTGGTACCTTTAGTGTGCCTGGACTAGAGGTGTAATGTTTTGTTCTGGGATTTTAATTCTCCCGGGATTTGCAGCTCATCTGAAAATGGGGACAACTGCAGTGTGCTCTACTTCATCAGAAAGAGCTGGCAATGTGACCCTTCCTTGGGCAAAGACTTAGCACCCTCTCCCTCTGCCTGACTCTCATGCTGGAGAAGGATCACAGGATACTCTCTGCTTTGCCATTTCTGGATACTTGTTTTTGAACACAGATGTTTTGAGAAACCTGTCATCTCTGTTTTCCATTCTTGAGAGTCAAGGAGTCTCTGAAATGAAAAGCACTCTAATTTTGTACTGTGTTCTCAGTTGTTATTTCTGTAAAGGCTTTGTTTATTTGGGAAAGATTTTGGTATGTGAATGTGCTCACACCCTAGAATGTTATATTAAGCCACATGTATAGGCACTATGAAATGCACGTTTTGAGTTGCTTTGATTAATAGTAGCTGTCCTCCTAAAATTTGTAGTCCAATGTCTTTAAACAGAGCCTTTTCTGTGAAAAACACTCATTTTGACATCGAGTATGTTGATAATAGAGACTATGTGGTTTTTTAGAATACAAAAAGGCCCGCCAAGAGATCAAAAAGAAATCGTCTGATACACTGAAGCTACAGAAGAAAGCAAAGAAAGGTAACTTGCTTCATACTTGTACTGCTAAAACCCTTTTGTGCTATGCTCATTGGCAAAGATTGAGCAGGGATAGGACTTTCTATTGTAACAGTTTGGTCCCCTGTAATGCATTCCTGGTATGTACGTGAGCACCAGGGTACAATTACTGTGTGTCATTTAAATCCTATTCTGAAGCTGCTGTCTAATGTTCTTATACAAAAGCCTTAAAACTGTACAAAGTCAATCATGTTTTAAAATAGAGCGCTTGCTGCTAACTTATTCCTGTTAGGAACGTTGCCACTGTAACATGGCTTGTGCAGATACCTGTAAAATCTTCTAGAATCTTTTGGAATAATAGGAAAAAAAGCCATTATGTAAATGTTCTGTAACTATGAACATTTCTCACTGTTCTCCCTTTCTACCACCTTTCTGCTTGATTATTTTTTTAACGTCCTATAATCTCCTAAACCTTACCTTATCCCTCAGTGTGAGAAGGTGGCATGGGTTGTTGTCAGGAGGAGGGCACTTGGCAACCATAGAAAACTAAAGATGAGTAAGAAAGGAAAGGGAGTTCTCCACAAAGGCAATCTGTCTTTTTTAGCAACTGAATCTCAGGCTCCTGTTGCTCTCCCACTACCATCTTGTCACAGGAGTTTCATCTTCACACTAATGGAAACATGCATCACTGGTAGCTGCAGCATTGCCATCACTAAGGGCTTTACTTGGCCAAGTGCAGACCCCACCAGGCTTTGGGAAAATGACAGGGAGCACATACAGAAGCAGACTTTCTGATTTCCTTTCCCGCACTGAGCTCTTCTCAGCTGGGTAGGAAATATGCTTTGAGCAGCTCTCAGCCTGCAGGTTGCAACTTGTCCTTCTCCTCCTGCCTAAAAACTTTCAGCCCAGGGACAAGCAAAATAAATGCTGGGGTGGGGAGTTTCTTGAACCTTTTAAATGGTATAAGTGTAATCCAGAACAGGAGAGCTGTCTGACTGTCCTTCCCAAATAGGTGAGTCAATAATTACGCTGGTAGAAAGCCACATGACTGGGAAACTGCTCTTGGGTTTTAGCTGACTTTAGATGAGGGATGAGGAAGGGAGAAGTTGAAGCCAGCAAGAGGGAGCTTAGCTCAGTAGGCTCTGTGTGTCTGTCTGTCCTTGGAAAAGTTCAGTGTTTTAAATCAAAATGGTCACCTTTAGGGGGACCTGATTTTTTGTGGTATGGTTTTATTTTGGGGTGATGTGTAAGTCTGTTTCTCATTTTGTGTCATGAATTTTCTGACTCCAGACCAACAGCTTTATTCCCTTTCTCCTCCCCACCACCCCTCTTTTCTAGCCTCATTGCTTTTTGTCCCCATGTGATGCAAACAACCCCTCAGTGCATGGTAGTGAGAGCTGAGAAAAGCATGTCTGTGATCTGGGAAGAAAGAATCATTTTTTGAACCTGTTTCTGTGCATTGACAGCTATTTGGCTCCATCTCCCTTTTATCCTGCTTCTGAGTATTGAGTAAACCAATCTGCAGTCTTGGAGGAGGAGACAGCATTTTCTGTAAGGTGGGAAGAGGAGAGAGAAGCACTTAAAGCTTTCTGGAAATAAACCCCCACTCTTCTCATACTGCAGTTGCCAGGTTGTCTGTCAGTGGTGGTTAAAGCAAGTAGACTTCCTCCTTGAAGTTTCTGTCTCCCTCCCCAAATGTGTGCAGTGTCTAGCAATGAGGGTCAGCACACTGGTGTCTTGTCCTCCTTCAGGATTAAACATCTTTGTGCAGGGAGTGGAACAGGCCTCATTTTGCTGTCATTTTTATAGCAGCCATGCTACAATTGAAGTATTTTTTCCTCTTTTTTAATGTCATTCCCTTGCTTAATTTTGCTGTTCTGACATGCTTTTGGAGTTGGTAATGAACCTGCTGTATTTCTGTGCTGCCTCCCTTGGAACTGCTGTCACAGAGACACGTGGCGTAGTTGGGGCCAGAGCGCAAGCCCAGGGGGACTCGGTGGGGTTAAAGCTGGTTGCAGAGGGATGTACGCAGGGAAGGGGGAAGTGATGAACACTCTCAGGTAGCCAGTACAGGGGAAGGGAGGAGCTGCAATGTTTTTGATGAGTTGAGGGTTGTTCTTGTGGCCCCTGGGGAAGAGAGATGCAGTGAGGCGTTGAGGCTCATGTGGCTGCGAGAATGAAAGCTGGCCCTGTGGGTTCCCAGCATGAGCAGGTGGGAGGAAGTTCTTGTCTTCTTGCAAGTCACCTACAGAGGTTAAATACAGAAGAAAACAAAGTAGCAGATGCTTTTTCCCTTCTTCTCCTTTCTGATCCCTACCTTAAAGAACTAAAGCGTTGGTCTAAGTGCGATGTCAGATGTTGTGAAAACTATTTTGTATGCACCCACCTTGACAGATTGTTTAATGTGCTGTCTGGTGAAGTTATGTTGCTTTTGCTGTCACTGAGGGATAAAAAAAAATCTAAAATCATCAAACTGCAGTAGTGATTCTGCTTTAGGTCACAGATGAGATTTGGACTATGGGCAGGATGAAACTGTCCTGGCAGGCATGTGGCTGAGTGCATGAATGTCTTACTGTGTCCTCAACTCTCCTGCTTCCTTGTTGCTCAGACTTAACGTTTGTTGTTCTGTTCTTCCTCAAGCAGGACCTGTCCCTTTCATTTTTCTGTAAAGTTACTGACTCACCTGTGGGAACTCTAAACCAACCCTTTCATTTCCTTCCTAGTGCTTGTAAGACTGTTCTTGAATTAACCTTATGATCTGTGGGCAAGTGAGATGTTTGCTGAATTCTGCCTTCACTTAAGTACTGTGCATGCTACTAAAAACCACCCCGCAAGCTTTTTCTGCTGTGACTGGATGGGAAAGTGGTTTTCTCCTGCTTTGGGCAGTTTCAGATCTGGGAACTCAAATACAACCCTCTGCTTTTCTCATTCGTGTCATGGCAGTGGTGTCTTCTCTCCCTTCCACATCAGGCTGCTGAGGCTCCCGCTTGTAGCCAGTGTCTGCAGCATCCCAAGGGTGTTTGGGAGAGGGCCATGGGCTGCATGGCTTGTCCTGACAGGAGCACCACAAGGTTGGGCACCCCACTGTAGCACTGTAAGAGGCTGATACGCTGGGATTCGCCTGGTCTTTGTCTTATGTATAGTCTCTTTGTTCTGGTTCCATGTGGCCAAGTTGAAAGTTCAGGCTGGGCATTTAAAATCATTTCTTAGAAATTATGTTTGCGGGGCAGGTGTGTTAATTGCAGTGAAGGTGTTTCCAAAGCTTGAAGTGATGGGGAAAACGCCAAGCTTTCCCAATTAACCAAAAAGGTGTTAGGTGTCCTTTTTGGAAGTTTGCAAGAGCCTGTCTGGTAAAATGACAAGTCTGTGTGTAAATGAAGGGCTTGCATTCAAAAGACCTTACAGGGATCATTTTCCTTCTTTTTGTTGTCTTCAACTATTAAAAAGATGAGCCCATATGTAGTCTAAACATATGAAGTCTAAGTAGGATCTTGGTGCACCTCCCAGATCCATGCAGTCCCTGGGGGTGACATGGTGGTCTTTGAGGTGCATCCTTTCCTCACACTTTTGTTTCCAAGGGAAACAGGCTCACAGGACTTGTTGCCCACCCCAGCACTGAAGCTTAGCTCTTATCTGAACAGATGAAGCTATGTAGTGCTTGGAACTGCATACCTCTTCTAAATTGCTCTTTGTTTTCAGACAAACACTGGACATCAGAAGTCAGCCCAGCAAACCTGAGTCAGCAGGATAATTATGCACATATTTAAAATAAATTCCATGTTTAGGTTTCTGCTGAGTCAAGGCCTCATATGTGAATCCAGAGCTGCTAGAAGCTCTTGATGCTGTATTGAATTCAGAGCAGAGACAGCAGCCGTGGCTCTGCATATGGCCATTTTTGAAGGTTAATGAAATTCATGATTCTTAATTTAAAACAAAATAATCAATGAGTAACTTAAAATATAACTGAATGTCCATGTAAAATCTGGAGTGCTTGTTGGCTTTATTTTCTGTGTTTCAGCTTGGCTATTGATGGCTAACTAGGCAGGTTTCCCTTCTGCCTATAACTCAACTGGCAGGTTTCATTTTCAGGTTCTTCATGTGATGGTGTGTGGAAATGTTTAAATCCAAGCAGATTTGTGAAAAGGGGTTATATGTAACACTCTCAATAGTATAACACGTGTTAATGTGAAAACTGGTTTTTATCTCTTAAGCCATTCCTAGAAGTTTCTGCAGAGTGCCCTTAGCATTCAGTATGACATTTGTTCTTCTGTCCCAGCAACACTGAGTATCCAAACTCAGAACCTCTAGTTTTAGGTATGCAGCAGGTCTGGAAAGTATTCGTAATGAAGCTGAGGGAGAAAAGCATGATTATTCATTTACTGTAATACTGCCAAAAGTGCCTTTTCTTCCCCTCCTTCTGGTTAGCAAAGATGACCTGTTTGTGTTTTAGAGCCTTTGCAACTGTTCTTGTGTTACACTCTGGTCTTTGAAACTGTAGTATTGGTACACTGCTCTCCAGGGTGTTTGTATGACTCTTAACTGAAGAACAAAGCCCTTCAACGTAATTACAACCAAAGAACATCTCAGGTCTTAAAGCACATGTTGACCTTCTCATTCAGGTACTGGTCTGGAGTGGCTGGCTGGGGAGGGGGGACCCCTGCCCAGACCCTTTCTCCAATGGGAGATACCCTGGTTCCTCTAAACTGGTCAAGTGTGGCATGATGACTGAAGTAAGAGACAGGACTCACTGTAGAGTCCGTGTGATACAGCTCAGAAGGAGGGAAGCTAATGAGAAAATTACCCTTATCTATTGCAGGGGAAAAACCCTGTGTGGATGAGGCCGTGGTGCCCAAGGGGGGGTTTGATGTTCCTTTTTTCTTGTAATGTAAGCTCCCCTTCAGTGAATTCAGTGAAAATATGCTGCAAAATCCATGACTGGAGTAATTTCTTTGGTCTATTTTCATTCCTCGAGCTTTGGATGCCTTCTGATCGTTCCCTCTTTTTGACAACAAGCCAGGTTTATT